TGCCAATCTTCCCATTTTTCTGAGAGTGAAGGTGGACACCACTTGAGGCTTCAGAACCGCCTGGCTCAGCACCAGCGTGTGCTGCTCAGTTGCGGAGTGGACACCATCGTGAAAATGGGTCAGGTCACAAACATCCAGGTTCGCAGGAAGTGTGTCCAGGCACTATGGCGCGGTCAGGGTAGCCGGAGCCGAGTGAAGACCTGACAGCGGATTAGAAACAGACCCACACACCTCCTGTAGGGACTGTTCCAGGCGAGTGCAGAGGGCTGAGAGTGGGGACTGGATGAATCTAAACCTGTGGTCTCTGCACGTCTTTCCCATAGGAGAAGTGATTCTGGAAACACCTTTCTGATAGGGTCAGTGTCTGCTGAAAACAGGCAACAGGATACAACGGTTGAACATACTGTGGTGGGTGTCCCCCTGCCGGGGCGGCGGAGCTGAAGGGGGATTTCTGGGCTTCAAGTCTGAGTGCTGGTGCTTCTTACTTCCCCGTCCTTGGCAAGACTTTTCCTCCTGGTCGACATCTGCATCTGAATCCGAGAGGTGGTGATGCTAACACCTGCCTTTATGTAGTGGGCACAAAACCAATCATCATTAACTCAGAGAAAGAGACCACTCAACCTATGTAAACCATCCGACAGTACCAGAGGCATATGAGTGCCAGAGAGAGTGAGCTGTTATAACTATTCTGGGGCAAGATTAGAATGACAATAATAATAACGCCTTTATAGGTTTCATGCAAAGATTCAATGAGTCGCTGCTTGTGAACTTCCTATTCCGGTGCCTAGTAGACAGAAAGTAGGAAAAGAACAGGGTAAACCTCAGGTATTGGTGGCCGAGTCAGGAAACTCATGTCCTTCAGTTAGCAGAGGCAAATGTCCACTGCTCAAGGGTAAGTGTGTCCCAAGGATACCGGGGAGCTAAGGGACTCCTTCCAAATACGAAAATGGCTTATTTGGATTCTTCCAAGTAAGAGAGCAGCTTACCACGACTTTAGAATCGCTTGTATCTTTAGGAAAGAAAATATCTCAGCATCTTTATGTAATCCAACTATACAAAACCTGTACTATTGCTGCATTTCTTAAGATGAGATGGAGGTACACTCGGTCTTTAAGGCAACTGCAAAACCATCGTTTTAAGAATTTAGAGCGTGATGATGTATCCTTAAGACCTTGATTCATGTCAAGAACTAACTCAAAGAATACTGTATTCCATGGGATAAGAGGCCTACATTTTTTAACATTCTCATGAGACTCTAAGACTCTAAATACCAAGTCGGTATTTTTCTTTTTAATTTCCTGCTTACCTATAAGCAGTAACAGTCCAATTCTGAGACACCCAACTGAAATGAGTCAGTAGCTTAAGACAGGATGGGATACATGGAGTGTTCAAAAAAAGAATGTGCAAAGGAGTTCAGCTGCAGGCCTTGCTGGATCCAGGGTCTCAGATGACCTCGTCGGGACTCTCCTTCCCGTCTTTCTTTAAAGATCTTATTTATTTATTTACTTATTTATTTTTGCATAGAAGAACGGGGGTGCAGGCCAGAGGTGCGGGGGTGGGGTTGGTGGTGAGCATATTCACCAGAGACAGAGTGGGGAGAACATGAGATCAGGAAGTTAATGCTGAACGAGTTTCACAAGATGTCTCCTACAAATAAATATAACATCAAAGTATAACAGATGAAATAGAATCTTTCCTTCTCTTCCTCCCAGCCCCTTCCTGTCTCCCGAAGGAAAGTCACCCTTGTTTAGAGGTTCAATGCGAATGGAAGCTTGTAGATTTGAAAACAAGCCACACATGGACTCACGGAGCGGCACAGAAAGGCGGCTCAAAGCCAGAGCACTGGCAGCATGACAGGAGCAGCAGTGGTTGAGGGGAGCAGCTTTGGGAGGTACAAACTGGACTGAAACAGAGAGAAAACTGAACGTTAGAGACCTTTTCTGCAGACGATGATGGGCGGGGAGAACAAGGAAGAAGCTAAAACTGGTACGATTAAGAAAACACTAAGATTATAAATTCATACTGAGACCGCGACTGTAGTAACTGAATACAGATCAATCACTTAACAGAACCAAGTCTATAAACACATTTTTACAACGCAATCTTTGAACGTAAACCTAGATCCAGTTTAATTAAATCTGACCCTAGAACAGTAACTGGCCCCGTTTAAGGTGAACCAATCTGATACAAAGATTTTCCTATCCGTAGACTCTCACAACAAACAAAAAACCAAGCCCCGAGGTCACCCCAGGCTGGGCGCCCGCCTGCGCAGCGGGGGTCAGACTGACGGGCGCAGCGGCTGGCCGGGACAGGGCTGGTGTCCGCTGGTTTCCAAGGGGCCGTCCCTCCCCGACCTCCGGGGCCCGCTGCTCCCGCCGGCCTGTGGCAACAGGTGCGTGTGGGTGTGGGGTGGGGTCAGCCCAGAAGGACCTGTCACAGCCCCCTGGGAGATGCCCCGACTTCAAGGTCAGGGCATTCCCACCCGTGCAGTTTTTGTAAAGCAAAGCGATGTCCTGGGTCCTAATTCCCTGGAATCCTACAGACCGGGCGCCTGAGTCAGGGCGGTGGGCGTCTGCCCCTCTCCACAGCAAGGCAGGGGCGGATGGCAGAGCCGGCTGATCCGTGCAGTGCCCCGTGCTTCCTGGGCCCCAGACATCACCCTCGCTGCTGTGGCAGGGGAGGGGGCTTCCCTGCAGGGCCCCGCAGCCAGCCAGGCATGCACTGGACCATCCCGGCCAGCGAGCAGAGTCCTGGACCTCCAGCCAGGAAAGGCAGGCGGGGTGACCCCAGAAACCAGGTGAAAGTGGAGTGCGGAGTGGGGGCCAGATGAGAAGTCAGTCAGTTCGCTATTACCCAGTGCCCCAAACAGGCTTTGTCGCGAATATCTCTAAGTAGCTTTCCATTAGAATCTCAGGCGGACCAGCTCCTGCTGCCCCTGGGCCTCTCTGCCCTGTGGTTTGCTTGGCTCCCTTCCAGACTGGCCGCGGGGCCTGGCCAGGGTGTGTCGCCCTCAGCAGCGCTGAGCTCTGTGTGAACAGGTGACTCAGAAGAGGCCTCCCAGCTTCAAAACCTCAGAAAGAAAACACTGCGTAACTGAAGAAAATCCCAGAGCCTCTTTCAGGCCTCCACCCTGGGGCTCATGAGGCCCCTTCCTGTCTCTTTCCCGCCCTCCTGTGCCTCTATTCCGGGGTCCCGGCATGTCTTCAACCATGAGGCAGGCCTGCGGCCAGAGGGGGGCCCCTACCCCAACAGAGCCCGGTCTTGGCTTCTGCCCTGGGAGCCCAGGCCTCTCCCTGGCTGGCCTGTCCCAGAAGTCACCGGGAGCTCCGGGACCCCGCTCTCAACAGCAGGCCTGACTGCAGGGGTGGGCTGATCCCCTCAAGCCAGAGGTCTGGAAGCAGGGCGGAGAGATGGGGCCTTCTGGGAGAGGAATGAATGGTGAGGGGAGGAAGAATGAGGGTCCTCTCTGCCAAGTGCTTGCAAGGCCCTTTGGAGAGCCCAGAGGGATCTCTCTGGAAGCAGAGCTCAGGGGTGCCAGGAGCCCCTGGCCCAGGGGAGGGCCCTGGCAGGTGGGGGAGGGAGGCCAGGGCCTGGGGGAGCAGCTGCTCACCCTCCTGGCCCTGGGAAAGGCAGAACCCCGCAGGCCCCAGTGCTGCAGACAGACAGCAACTCCAGCTGTGGGCTTTGGGGTGCAGTGCCAGAGACCCTGAGGCAGCCAACACTTCTGGGGTGCTGCAGTGCGGGGTGTTTTCTTTAGCACAGCAGCGACAGGGGACTTGTCTGTGGCTGGCCCTGAAGTCATCCCCCCGGCTCAGGCTGGTCAGAGAGTCTGCCCACCCCTCAGTCCCTGGGCGGCCACAGCCACGTGTTGCTCTGGGCCTAGCAGGCCTGGGGGTGGGGGGCGCTCACCAAACAGCGCCCCCAGCCCCCAGCCCCTGTGGCTCCACATTCCCTCCCCAAACCCAAATCCAGGGGCGGAAAGGCAGCAGCATCCGCGGGGCGCCTCCGCTCCTATGTGGGGCCCCAGGTCCCCCACCTGAGGTGAACCCCCAGGCTCCAGAGGCTGCTCCTGCCGGGAGGGAGCCTCACACTTGTCAGCGCCCAGGAGGAGAAGGTGCGCTCTGCTGCATCCCGGGGCTCCCCCTCTGGCAGAGCCGGGAAGAGGGGGGCTAGTCTGATCTCCGAGGAGCTGGGGGGAGGTTGGGGGGGCGGCTGCTTCCCCTTCCCAGGCCCTGCCGGCCCCCCAGAAACCGGGCGGGCCCGCTAACCGTCCACCCCGCGTCCCCCTCGCCGGCCCCCACCCTGTACCCCGACAAGTCCCCATGCCAGAGGGCTCCGGGTGGGAGTTCAGGCTCGGAGCTGGGAAAGGGGCGCGGCTGGAGGCTGAG